ATTTTTTTTTAAAAAATTTAAAATTTTTTAAAAAAAAAAAAAAAAAAAAAAAAAGAAAAATCAGAAATCTTAAGAATAATCTTAGAAATTTTCTAGAATTAAAAAGAAGAAATAAAAAAATTGCTAAAAAAAAAATCATAAATTTTTAGATTAATCCCTGAAATTTTCTAGAAAAAAATTTACATTTTAAATTTTTTAACATTTTTTGACTCTTGAAGTTTTTTCTAGCAAATTTCTATTATTCTAATTTTTTTTAAATTAACTTCTTTTTTTCAATGACCCTAACTGTGTTTCCACTGCATATATTATATTTAAACTTTCTCCACTGCAAAAACACAAAATCTTACCAAGCATTTTTGTCCAGTTTCTAATGCAGATATCCAACATTTGAAATAATATAAAACTATCTAACAAGTAGCTATTTAATAAAAATATGGAAGTTTATTTTGAGTAAACAATTTAATATTTGTCTTATGAAAAATAATGTTTCCTCTGGCAGATTTTTTCACTTATTACAAGACATTTTAAAAATGTATGTCCAAGAATTTTTGACTTAAAACAAGTTTATTTATCTTGATGAAAAGTTGCTTCATCAGGGCAACAGAAAAAATCAGATATTTCCCGCTGGGCTGGATGAAAAGCCTGAACGCTGCAGAAGGGACCCAATTCTCCCTGAAGTGGGTAAAAATAGATGCAGCTCTGTATAATCTGGCCAATTCAATATGCAGGAATGTCATCTTACCTGTTGTACGTCTTCAGGACGATGAGAACAAGAGCGAGAATGATGATGATGCCGATGACGATGACAGCAATCATAGCCCCAGAGCCTGAGAACCGGAAACAGACGTGAGCCTGACGAACGGCTGCTTTTCACTTACATTTACAGAAATCACATTTTATCTTCTGGCTGTTTAGAGGCTCAAACTTTAGACTCTCCTGCACTTTAGACCTCCTATAATGGCTCTTTATAACTTTGCAAGTTTTTGCAAAAACTGAAGTGTTTTTTCCAGTTTTCCTGCCATATATGCAAAAACTATGTGGAATCTGGAAATGTTTTATTTTTTTTTCCATCTCACAGAAAAAAAATCCATCTTTGTTTTTGCAAATTTTTATAATGATCTTTATTTTAAGTTATAAAAAATAGAAATAACATGGTGATTCTTTACAAACTACAAGCTTTTTCAGCAATATTTGTGTTGAATTTCTACAGAAACAATGCTAAAAGTAGCTAAAAGTAATATTTATTTAGATAATATTTTTTAGATATGTTTCTTGGGATCTTCCAGATTTCATGCAAAGGAAAAAAAAGATTTTTTGCTGAATTTTATGTTTATCTTTATTTTAAATAATAAAAATCGAAATAAAATTATAGTTCTTTAAAAAGTTTCAACAAATTTCTGAGAGTAGAGTCTAGTAATCTTTTTTTATCAATCAAATCTAAGAAGTTTTCTTCTCTATGCTGCCAAATTACATCAATGTGAGAAGATTAATATTTAAAAAGTACTTATTGAATGCAGAAACAGTGATTTTTTTCATATTTTGTCAGTTTTATGGGTTTTATCAATATATTCTGCCACAATGAGGACAAAATGAAAATGATTTTATACTAAGTGTTGCAACACAGCAACAGCATCACTCACAAGCAAACAAAACAGAGCAAATATTTTCTCCTGCATGCATGACGGACTGTCCAGTTCACCAGACATAAAGTGAAATGAAATGAAAACATGAACAGACTGTAAACTTGCTTCTTACTCTGGATCAGAATTTGTTCTCTAGATTTTGTCACCGAGGTTGTGTTTGAAGAAACTGTGGTGCTGGGCGCAGACGAAGCAGATGAACTCATTTTCAGCAAAAACCTGCAAGAAAAAGAAAAACTTTCAGCTTTTTTCAACAAATCTGAGATACCGAAGAACATCTGCTTCAGTTTTCACTCAGATGAAGACGAGAAAATAAATTTGCAATGAAAAAATAAAGAAGAATATGTGGCACAGCAGGTTTAATTGTCCTGCTCTGTTTTGGCACATTCAAAGTGCTTTCATCAGATAAAGTGTCTTTCCTCCTCAGCGTAGATTTCAGATCTCCGTCTAATCCAGTGTTGTGCGTCACGCAGAGATCCTCTGTTGTTTTGGAGGATCCCTCACACCGTTCAGGAAATGAGCCGCACACAGCTGTGGGTCAGGGCTGTCGCTGCAAACCATCCCTTCCCAGAGGAGACAAACTTCCTATTTGTGAAAACATTACACCAGCTGTCATTCAGTGGTTAGATTTACTATGAGATTTACATAAAGCTGCAGTTTGTACATTTTATAAATAAAAATATGTTTGTTACATGTTTGTTAAAACTGCCACAGTGTTGTTATGAGACAGATAATCTGTGAAAAGATCAAACTCTTCCACCTCCTCCCTGAGCTGCTTTGCCAATGCACAGCTCCCGACCAAAAACAACCAATCACAGCCAGGGGGCGGGTCTTAGCGCTGTCAATCAACGCTCCTAAATGTGCTAATGGCAGAGAAACAATTTACTGTTACAGAAAAACTGTTTATCTGGCACAATGCTAATTAACTATAGCATTCACAACATGCAGCATCTCAGCAAGGATGGGAAGGGGGAGGAAGGATTAGCAGCACAGCATGAGATTGTGATTGACAGCCCCAAGACATCAAGTCTCCTGGATCTGATTGGTTGCTTCCAGTTAGCACTGAAGGTGAAGGAGCTCAAACCTTTTACCATTTTTGTTTAAACTGTCACTTGGTCATAACAGTACAATATAAGACAGATAATCTGTGAAAAAAATCTAGCTTCTTTCTATTCTCCCAGTGCTAGCTAGAAACAACCAATCAGAGCCAGGAGGCAGGTCTTAGCGCTGTCAATCATGACTCTGTCCCTTGCTCTCTGCTACCGCTACGTTAGTCAGCAGATAATCTGTTTTTCTGTTACCGTGAGTTATTTCTCCACCATTAGCACACATAACAGCGCTTTTCTGAGGATGATTGGCAGCGGTAAGACCCGCCTTCTGGCTCTGATTGGTTGTTTTCTTCATAGCAGCTCAGGGTAGAGGAGGTTGATTTTGTCACAGATTAGCTGTCTCATATTATACTGTCATGATATGGTGACAGTTTTAACAAATATGTAAAAAACATTTTTTTATTATTAAAGTTGCACACTGCAGCTTTAAGCAGAATTGAACAAAATTAAATTTTCTCTTATGCGAAATAGAACTAGAATTCTCAAAATTATACTTAAAGTATCACATTATATCTCATCACATAATGTGCAGTAAACATTTTAAATTCAGGTGAATCACAGTAAAGCTGCAAAGCGCCGTTTGAGGCTGAACCACAGCGGTCAGGGAAACAGGTGGAACTATCTTGTCAAATTTGCATTGACAGTAAAAAGCTGAGAACCCGGCGGATGGAAACTCAGGACATAAAACCAGTCTGCTGCCGTCTAAATCTGATGCACCTGTCTGAGGATTGCAGTCAAATGAACTGGAATTTATGCAAAACATTTTAATTCACAAAGATATTGTTCAGCTACATAAAGTTATAAACCACAGAGGTTAATCAAAAGATGCTACTGACTGCAGTTATTATAGGAAATTTTATTTTAGTTTGAAAAGTAAACTTCTCAGTGGAATTAAATATGAAAATCTGAGAATGTAGCTGGTGCGTTTCTAAAACTTTCTGTAAAATTCCCTTTTCAAACTTAAATGCTGTTTGTTTTTATTTTTAATTTTATTAACACTTACATGTAGACAAACATTCATTTTATTCAGGCAGCTGTAAGTTTAACCCATAATCAGCTCAGATATTTTGAATTTTCAGCTAAATCAGCACCAGTAGCAACTGAATTAAACAAAGACTGACGTTTAAATACACAGGGAGGGTAATCAGTTAATTGGGAAGCAATCAACGGGGAAGACGCAGAGACAACAGAGACTCAGGACAGAAACTGAACACAGAAAACCCTTAAAAATAAATACACAGAAACACGGTTCATGACAGGTATTATTTATCAAACCGATACGATACATTAAAAAAATGATTAGTATTGGCTGATATCGATCCTAATCTTTACATTTAAAATAATGAAGTAAAAATTTTCATCCCGCAGATAGACTATTATTTTTGTTTTTATGTTCAGCCACATATTTAATCACTTATTTTTCTATTCACAATCAGCTGCATTTATTTTCATAGTCAGCTATAGCTGCATGATTGAAAAAGAAAAATATTTGTAGTTTGTAAGCAATAATAAACTTCTCCTTCACGTCTCCTTCCCACGTTTATTACCAATGTTTTATCCTATAATTTATGGGAAACTGCAGCGGCCCACGCTGGTTTATCAATCAAAGTTTACAAGCTTTGCATGTCCAGGAGACCAATGGGAATTTTCCATCTAAAACTGAAGAGCTGATAAAAAAAAACCCCGACTGACATGAAAATGAAGAGACAGAAAGGTGAAGGAATCAAGATTTACTTTTTATTACCTAGAGATCAGAGCTGTGTTGGATGTTTCTGTGTGCGGAGCGAGTCATGCAGCTTCCTGCTCATCAATGAATCTTTACGTGTTGACATTAAGCACAAAGGTTAATAATGACATCTATCACTCACTGTTTACAGACCGGACAGCTAAAGATAAGTGATTGGATTGTACGCCGAAAAGGTTGGCAGCGCAACTGCTTTGGCAACATAACCGAGGAAGTTATGCAGCAAACAATGGAGAAGATTTATGAGAGCAACATTAAACGGAAAAGGACAATTTACTCCAAAAGTATTCATGTTTAAACGATGATGAAATCCCTTTTGCCTCTAGACAAATGTATGTCAAACTCAAGGCCAGTGGGCCAAATCTGGTTCGCAGAAACTCCTTCTGTGGCCCTCAGAAACAGAATATGGAAAAATAACATTTGTGAGCTTGAATATTATTTTATCAGTCAAATCAACTTACAACTTTATTCTCATAATATTATTCTTGTGATATTATGACTTTTTTCCTCATAATATGATTTTTTTCTTGTAATACTATGACTTTATTCTATTGAAACGACTTTTATTCTCATAATATTGTAACATTATTCACATAATTTATGACTTTATGCTCATAATTTTATTTTATTCTTAGTTCTAATGTGCTGTCGTGCTGTTCAAGTCTTGGATCGAGTGAATCAGAGGTTGAGCTTTGGTTGAGTACAGACAGTTCTTGGTCTGCTGGTGTGGGAACAATCATCTTATCTTGAATGTGAGCAAGACAAAGGACATGGTTGTAGATTTCAGGAGAAACAGGAATGTGGCAAACACTATTTCCTTCATGCAAGAAGAAGAAAAAGAAGAAGAAGAAGAGGAAGAGGAGGTGGAGGAGTAAAAATGCCCTGATTTCCACCTCGATAACAGTCTGGAGGCGCTACAGACAGATATTTAATTATCACAGAATCTTAATCAATATTTGCAGCAGATTTTCTGTTTTGGCTGTCTGAAGCACAAATGTTGAGTTTGTTATTTAGTTAAAAAGATGTTTGCTGAGCAAGCTTGACAATAAAGACAGAGAGGTTTCTTTTTTGTGCTAGAATTTAACTTTTTGTAAATGTTTTATAATGTAGTTTGGTGGTTTTCTTAACATTGTTTTATATCTGTAGTGACTTGTAAGTCACTCTAATAAATACATCAAATCAAAATATGTAATGTGCTACCATCTCTTTAACTAGAGGTGCATCGATTCGATATCAATATCTGTATTGGTGCAGACATTGGGAAAAAATCTAGATCAGGTATCAGTGACAAATCCAGAAGGGCAGGTCTATTCAGTCTAATTCTATGTTTTGTGCTCTGAGAAACGTCATGCTTTACTATTTATTTTACATCATATTTAGAAATAATTTGAAAGGTTTGTTGCTGTTTATTTTACATTTTATTTTATATTTTTACACATTTTACCAAGACAGTCAACTTATTGTTTTCGTCTGTTTCTAGTTGTTTTACATTAGCTGGTGAAGCTTCTGGAGTATTTAAGTGAGCTGTACTGGTTCAGAGTTACCAGATAAATGTGTAATTCAGTACATTTATGAAAAAAAAGAGAAATATTTTAAATCAGTTCTGCACTGTTTTTCTGTACCAGATCGGTATCAGGTGATGCTGAACCTCAGGTATCGGTATCGGTATCAGAAGTTGATAAAAGTGGATCGGTGCATTCCTAATTGCAACATGATAAAATCTGAAAAAGTGAATCTCTCTTGCGGTGAATTGTCCCCAAACAGGCTGCATGACAGATATGTTCCCTCTGTAGTTTCTGCGTCACATAAAGAACAGATAATGCTGATTGAGATGCTGCAAATTCCTCGGAGAAACACTCACTTTTCACACCTTAAGCTAATCACACGTAGCCACTCCCTATCCCTGTGCCGCTCCATTGTAATACAACTACTCATGGCTCAACTCTGACTAATAATTACACACTATTTCCTCTGACGAATGCTGGCTGAATGATTCAGGAGAGAGTTGGACTTGCTTTACTGGAGGCGTGAGGTCACTTAATCTATCACTACTGTAACTGGAGAGGTGGTTTCCAGGTTTTAAATGAATGAATCACTAGAAGTGATGTCCTTCTATAAGCTGCTCTAGTCGCGGCTCTATTTTTAAATACTTCCCCAAAGGAAATTAAATGTTGTCATAACTGGTGTCATTAAAGTATCTTTGAAGAGCTGCCATAAACAGAGATGCTGTAGGCAGGAAGAAGCTCCAGTAGCAGTCAGTCTTGCAGCGAATCTGACAGGCCTCTGACTGACTCTTTTCAACTCCATATTTGATGGATATTTGGGGTTGTAGTTCAGGTATTATTTGAGCTTTGGAGATACTGATCAGCTGCTCCCAGCTGACAACAAGACAATGCCTTGTTGTCACGGTTACACAACAAAACAACTACAAAAGTAGAAAAGTAAGAGAAAAAAAACACTTCCAGCTGCATAGCCTCCAAAACAAAAGTTCTGGTTTTCAAAAACCTGCTGTAGCCCTTCATTTCTTTAAAAAATAAAGTTTGCCTGAAGAAGTGCAGAAATCTCCCTGTTTCACATAAATCTCCCTGTTTTGTTTTCACCAGCAGCGCAGGAATGGATTACATGCCTTCGGTGTCCTGACAACTCCAGTTACAAGCGAACTTTGAAAAACAAAGAAAGAGCACTCTGAACCCGGAGATAATGTCTTCATGTTCAAGAAGCGAGCAGGTTGCTTATTCAGACACAACAAAAGGGCTGAACGAAACAAAATGCACCGAGCGAGAGAGAAAAACCTCCTCCAGACTGCTAACGATAAAGCTAGCTAGCATAGCATTGAGCAGAGGACTGGGAACGACACTGATTAACATCCAGCTCAACATGTTTTAGCTTTGATTTATTTTTGATGTTTCTTTGGTGCAGAAGCCATTTTGTTAGAGGACCAGATACATTTCTGTTGTTTTCACTCATATTAATAGTTCATGTGATAAACAGCAGTGATGTTAACGTCTATTCTTTTAAAATGTGTAACTTTATGTTTTCTTTAGATTAAAAAATGCTTTTTATTAATTATTACTACTACTCTTTTGTAAGAGCTTGTTAACCCATCTGTATGTCACTGAAATTCATTATATTTATGGAAGAACCTAGCCTTTACGGCTAACTTTCACATATTTTTCTCTCTGTCTCTTTTCAAATAAATCATCAACAATCTAAGAAACATTTTCATGTAGTCCATTTTTAAAAGACCAAATCCTTCATTTACTCTAATTTTACATCGTATCTACAGGTTATATTGCTCAGATTTATTGTAAAAGTTTGAAAAATGTTCATGAAAAATGTTTATCATGAACATTTTCAATTGTAAACATGCTTTTTTTGTAAGTAACCCAGTTGGTTACAAGTGCTGCTGATAAATTCACTTCCCCATTTGCTGGTCTTTTCCCAGTAATAACTGTTTATTTCTCTTTCTGCAAACTGCTGCTATTCTCAAATGCTACAAATTCAATATCCTCTTTTCCGCCGTGAGTGAACAAATCATGAGCTCCTTTTGTTCAGACCCAGGAACTCTTCAGTTTCCTCTTTTCTTTCCACCGGGGGAGAGAACAAGCGAAGCTAAAGGGCATTCGGGCTTTGCTCTCCACAGAACTGTAAATACAGAGCTCTTCATCTCCAGCGCACATAAACACAATCAGTCTGACCTTTACCAGATTTCGCCCGCTGTCAATATTTGAGAAGGTTAATGAGGAGAACAGAGCGCCTATTAGCAGCCTTAGGAGAGCAGATATGAAATTTGAGTTCAAAGAAGTGGACTTCCCTCTTCATTTGTTTTCCAGCTGTCGCATTGATGAGAGATTTAGCGGTGACATTTATTGATCTGGATCAGCAGAATGACGTCTCATGTCGGGACACGTCATTGGCTGAGCGATCGGTGGAAACACTAGCATAAAAAGAATAAATATGAGAGGCAAATCTTAAACTTAAAGGCAAATATTATGACTCTAGAAGCAAAAATCCCTCACAAAAAATGGCATTTTATTTAAAATACAAGCTTCCAGTGTTCAAAACCGAGTGTGGAGGTAAAGTGTTCGTTTCTGAAGCAGGAGTCTGATTGATGCATTCACTGAAAGTGTCTAAAGCGGCCTGTCGAGTGTGAAACAAAAAGAAAGAGAGAAATGGACGAGCAGTTTGGAAAGGACAAAAAGACTTGACTTGTCTTCACAGTTTGTGTAGCTACTGTTATAAGAAGCTCTGCTGCTCATGTTTGGGACACCAGATTTGTTAACAAATGAATAAAGTTACTTTTGTTATCATGTTTAAAAATGTCACTTTTATGCATAGTGAAAAGCCCAAAGCTCTACAGCAGAAACATCAAATCTTATCAAGTATTTCTGCTTAGCTTTCAGCACAAATATCTTACTACACTTGATATTATGAGACAAAACTAACTTACAAGTAATTATTTTGGCAAGTTATAGGAGCTTGTTTTAAATCGATAGTTCCTTAATATTTAGGAAAAATACATTTTCCCATGTTATAAGAGAATAATCTGCCAGTAGAACTAATACTTTTTCACAAATATTAAGGAATAATTGACTTAAATCTCATATATCTTGCTGAAAAGTTACTTTTCATTTAGTTTAATCTTTTCTCAAGTGTAGTAAGATATTTGAAAAAGAAACTAAACCAGTGTAATTGTTAACATCAGACAAATTTAATGTGTCTGAATACAAAGCGTTGAAGTTACACAATAATTTGATTTATTAAGGAGACATCCATCCAGATCAACCTGGCTCTGTGCGAAAGAGTAAAGGCTAAACCCGATAAATCAAAAATCAATTGTTATTGACAGTTTTTCACCATCCATGAGATGAGAAACGGTCATTAGCATCTATTAGCATAGAAATGTTTGCAAAACCTGTGATAGGGATTTAAAAATGGCTGCCACAGGAGAAAGACCAAAAAGAATACCAACATCTGACCGAAAAACATTTTGATTTTCATCAAAACTATTAGGAATTTCAGAAAAAGATGCTGACAGGTAAAGGTTCCTCTCCACCTGGAAATGATGAAACGACTTTTAGGGTTACGCAGCAGAACCAGGACCCCAAACTCTCTGAGTCCAAATCTGAATGAAAAAATAATGGCTTTTGTGTGGCCTACTCAAAGTTCAGACTTAAATCCGACTGAGATGTTGCAGCATGACCATATAAAGGCAATTCAACCTCTAAACCCTTCAGTGTGGCAGAAGTTTAACGCTCTACCAAGGTTATTACCGGGGTGTTCAACGTGCGGCCCGGGGCCCATTTGTGCCCTTGAAATGATTTTGGATGATATTTCACTAAGAAGACATTTTATTTTGTTATAGTTGAAATAAAAAATAGTTGAAAAGTAAAAAAACCCTTGAATCAGTGAAGTAATAACATATGGGTTTTTGTTTTCTTCCCTTAGTATAGATAAAAAATAGAAGATCCTCTGGCAGATTATTTCACTAAAGACATTATTCTTACTTTATGGGTGAAATAATCTGCCAGAGGAACCAGCACGTTTTCATCAATAGTAAATTAAATATTGACTTAAAACTTTTTGCAGTGCATTGTTCTCACTCAGGTTCAATCACAACACACACACACAAACAATCTTAAAAGCGTAGAATCAGTTGTGTGACCTACCAAACGGACTCCTCTGTGTTCCAGCTCAAGCCCTTCCCAGGTGGGCGCTGAGCAGCGATGGTTCCCCCACTGTCAGCTGGCCGAAGGAGGCATAGTCCACCTGTATGAGCCGGTAGATCACAGCAGGTCTGCTCCAGGTGTCGGACAGGAGAAATGGAGGAAGACAACACAACTTCAGGTGTAATAAAACTAAAATATGAGACAGGGAGAGGGTTGAAAACCAAGCAGAGGTGTGTCGGTGTGCAGTTTCAGTGAGTATTAAAGGAGGGAGGAGGAAGAAGGGGTAAAAGAGGAGGAGACTCCACGTTTGCTGTGCCGAGAGGAACCATCTGAGGCAGCTGGTTTTTCTGGTCCTTCTGCCCGGCCCTTAGGCGTGCCTTTTCAAAATGAGCTGCTCTCTCCATAGCCTGGGCCTCTGCAGAGTGTCATGTTTGCGTCTCACATGAAAAGGTGCAGAGTGCTTGAAGTCTGCATGCAATAAAATCATAAATCAGTTTGTAGGCCAAGTCAAGCTTATTTGTAGAACACATTTCAAAAGTACTTTACATCATAAAGTTGTAATACAGTCACTATTTATGAATCAAGCAATATTATATTGCTTGATTTATATTTTATCAAATTACATCATCAATACAGTATGCAGAAGTGGGGAGGGTGGCCAAACGTTGTGCTTAATTAATAAAAGTAGCACTACTTCAACATATTTTTACCCAAATAAAAGTAGTAGCCAAGAAATTACTCAAACAAGAGTAAAAAAGTATTTGGTAAAAAGTCTACTCAAGTATTGATTAACTGATCAAATCATTTAGTATTTAAAGATTACATCATCAGACGGGCCAATAAATAAAGTTCAGAGGAAATTTTAGTATTAAAAATTATAATAATTTAAGTACCCCCCTTACCCCCCCCAAAAAAAACTTTACAAGTTTCCAAATCAGTTTCTTTCAATAAAAAACTTATGAAACTTTAACAGAAACTGCAGGTGTGAGTCTGAGTCTGGTGGAGTTTTGGTTAAAACGTTTGTTTTTCATTCAGTGGACAGAAAATCCAGACATTTTACTCAAGTGAGAGAAGAAATACTTCATGATAAAATTACTCAAGTTAAAGTAAAAGTGGAGTACAAAATAATTACTTGATACTGTACTGAGCTCCTGCGACAGACTGGCGACCTGTCCAGGATGTACCCCGCCTCTCGCCCGGAACGTTAGCTGGAGATAGGCACCAGCACCCCTCCCGACCCCACTGAGGGACAAGGGTGTTCAGAAAATGGATGGATGGATGGATGTACTGAGCTCATAATATGTTGATTAATTGCTGCATTTCCACTGACCATATAATTTGACATTTTAAAAATGGAAACATGGCAATTAAAAAAAAAACTCGATAAAAAGTTATTATTCCAGGATGAGATGCGATTTTTTTTTGTTTTATTTTGCAAAGCAACAATGAATTTTTTTTTTCCGCATCACACAAGTCATGTGATCAACAACCAGATGTTGTTGATCACGTTGGACAATCATGTTTTTAATTACTTTTTGTGTGAACAAACTTCATTATGTGTGATTTTAATTGTGTTTCTTGTAAAATTATGCTTTTTCTACTTTAGTGGAATATTGACTTCAGTTTTGTGCACATTTATAATGACAACGCAGCTACAGTGTTTCCACTTACTGCTAATCAAAGGCAGATCCAAACAGGTCTTTATTTAAAGGGACTCAGTGTTTCGGTTGTTTTGCAGTTTACTGAAAGTTTGTTCCAGATCAGAGGAGCATAAAAACTGAATGCTGCTTCTCCATGTTTGGTTCTGGGGCTGCAGCTTAAACCAGGCATCAGAGTAATAAACCTGCTAGTCTTTGCACTAACACCTTTTGAATGGAGTTGAAAATTAACTAACGTGTCCAAAAGGAATTGGATGGAGGAGAAAAAATGCATCACTCCTGTTTTTTCTCTTATAATCTCCATTTAAGCGCTCAGTATTGAAGGTATTCCCTGCACAGGAATCGCCGACATCAGTCTGCAGCTCCAGGATCGAGCTTCACTTTCCCTCCAGGGTTTGGGTGGAGCCCATCATGACAAAGCAAGCAGCATCTTTGCTTTTGTACAAAACAGTGTAACTAAACTTCTCCTGCATTGTCAGGAATCCCATAACAGGACGAGAGTGATGCAGATGACCCGCTTGTGTGTGTCCCATTATGTGACCGTGAAGAGGTCAGGTTTCACAAGGCAGGAAAACCACAATAGAAAAGGGAATCCATCAGTCTCCATCCAGTGGTGCTGCTGCAGACATCAGTGTGTTTTCATTCAGACCTGCAGGAACAACAATGACTGTCCAAATGTGATTTCAGGAAATTCTAGTCTGTTCAGTAAGAATGACAGGAATCCTTCGAGAGGGTCTTCAACAACGAATAAAAAAACAAAACGATGGCAAAACAGCTTTGGCTGTTTAAGCTTTTAAAAGACAATTTATAGAGATAAAGAATTGAACCCAGAACCTTCTTGCTGCAAGGCAACAGCTCTACCAACTGCGCCACTGTGCAGCCCTTAGACCAAACATATTTAGTAATATTTTGTTTCTTGCACATAAACACTTGGGAGTCATGCACTTGACTGACAAGTTAGAATTTCTGAACATAAACAATAAATAAAAATATTAAGGCTTAATTCCCATATTTCCAATGTTATGACGTTTTCCTGTAATTTTCTTTTTTTATTTTCTTAGCATGGTCCAGTATGCCATTATGATAACTCATAACTAGTAATATAAGTTATGGTTCATGAGGAAACCTATAACTATTATATTATGGATTTTCTCACAATATAAGAGAAAACTCAAGTTTTATGAACATTTCTGCCAATCAATCACTAGCCAATCGATTCTAGATTAACTCATTAATCACTAACTTGCATTAATTGAAGGGACGGAACTAATTTCATATTATTCACAACATTTAAAAAGTGAATAATTTTGCTCTTATTCTCGCCTAAGAATCAGTTTCTATTGTTCTGCTATATAAAATCCACATTTGAAACATTGAAATTTGTGGTTGCAAAGTGAGAAATTGCGAAAATGTTTGCAGAGCGTGAATACTTTTGCACAACACCTGAAGCTTCTGGGCCGGCTAGCAGCCACCATGCTAACCTGATCTCTGGTAGGTGTGCACACATCGACACATTCAACAGTTAGGCTCATTGTGAGGAGGAATTCCCCGATCCGCACCCCACGAAGAGAAAGAGGGGCTTTTCGAGCCTCACCTCCCAGCTGCTGCGCTTTTCACCTCATGAGTGGCGCTCTTTGTCTTGCAGCTGCGTCACAGGTGCTGCAGACATGAAGTTTGTAGTTGTGCCGATTGCGAAAGCAGCAGTGGAGGTATTCTGTTGTTTCTTTCACCGCCACAGGAGGAAACTACAGCTGTAAAATACAGCAACACAAAAAAATCCTCCTGCTTGAATCCTTGACTTAATCATTTATTAAATCCTTTAAATAAGCAACAACTTTAAGAAGTATTTTGTTGTGCTTTTTGTTTTAGTTTTCAGCAGTTTTGTCTGAAAGCATTAACCAGCCCCCCAAAAAGTAACCATCTGTTCCATCTGATTTCTTTTTAAACTTGACAATCAGAACCGACTCATCAAAAGTTTGGCTCTGCAGCAGAAAAACACCCAGAAAATGAAGGACTTAAAGGCGTGGCTTTTAAAAATGAGTCTTTATGTATTTCTCTATGTGAAACAAATGGACTTCCTTACTACACAAACAGAAGCAGATAACTGTCAGAGACAGAGAGACCATGTCTGAGAAATAGGTACAGAACATGTAAAATACACATACTGGTATCATACAACTGTAAATTATTGCTTGTTTTTGCTACGTTGTTTTCTGGATTTCTACGATATTCAGACACAATATTCAGATCTCAACAGAAACGTTACAACAGTGACAGTATTAACAGTATTATTGAGCTATTTAAGTTCCCCAGAAGTAAATGAAACATTCAAACTGAGTCAATGTCGAACAACAACACCAAGACAGTTGGTTTTGATCGAGCATCTTCAGGTTACATGTGGTTTTTTGTTTGTTTTTCTTTTTAATGTTTTTCTCCTCCCCATTACAACAAAGCCAAGGAAAAGCTGTAACAAACTGCACACTGAGACTGACCTCAGCAAGAAAAGAAACAAAACACTTGGCATATGTACATAAATATACATCTTCTTCTCGACTGTGACCAAAGTGCACCAGTTTAAATCTCCATGATTACAGAGTAAAAAATAAAAAGAAATGCGTTTCCTCATGCTCTGCTGCTGCGTTTTCCTTTAAACCATCGAAATGCATCGGCTCCAGTAAAACGTTCACTCTGTCAGAGAGCCGTTTCTCAGAAAAACAGATGCTTAAGACAAACAGAAACACAAAGTAGATATATATATTTTTAAATTCCTTCTGCTGCGCCGTCCTGCTTCCCGTCAAGCCTCAGGTGAACATGTATCCCAGCAGCTCGCTCCTATAGATCCAAAAGGCCTAAAGGGTTCACTGGAGTGTTTCACTCACTGCAATATAATGTGCTGGTGAAAAAGGCTGACCAGGTGCTGAGCTTGAGATAAAAGCTTTGCCTCAAATAAAGAAGAAACGCACACTTGCATACACACAGACACGTCTTTTTCTTAATGCTTTACAGCCAAACAGATATAAAGCTGCCAAATGACATAAGATTCAGACACCTGTTACAAGCAGTTATTCATGTTTCTTCATCTGGTTAAACAAGCAGGTGAGAAATGCAAAGAAACACTAAGAATCCATTTGCGAATAAATGCTTTGGTCGGTCCATTTCATGTTTTTTCTTTTCTCCCCCGCATCAGTCGGCTGCAAAAAGAACCAGAGAAACCATTTTGACATATTTACACGGCAAGAAGCAGCACGTTTCAATTCACAGAGAGAGAGAGAGAAAAAGAGATTCTCAGTGCAAAACAAGCAGTTTGTCAGAAAACCTGACATGCAGAAAGCAAACGAAAGGGATGTGAAAATACAATTTAAAAAAAGAGACAAATATCACAAAACTCCTTTAAGAAAAGGAGGGATGAACTGTTTTCCAATCCATCAAGTTTTAGCAAAACTCGCCGCCAACACCAATTCCCTGCCATCACGAACAATAGCAAAAAAGCTTCAGCTTCTCGTCTCCAGAAGTAACTAGGCATGCAAAAATTGTTGGGTTATCAAATACAGAGTATGAATACACATCTAGTTAGCAAAAACACCTTTCAAATAAAAAAAGAAGACAAAAGAAGAAGCAGAAATAAAGAAAGTCAAACATCCAGCGCATCTTTGTTAGTCACGTATGGCGCTTCGTGCGGTGTGTGACGTTAAATAGGTTCCTTTTTCTTCGAATGACTTGTTAGTATTTGTGTTTCAGTACATATTTTTCATAACAGAGTATATACATGCAGAGAGGAGCGGCAACATCACACACTCGGTCCTGATGCAAGACAGCAGATTTGAAAAAGAAAGTCTAATATATCTTGAAAGGAAAAACAAAATGTCCGGGGTGATCGTTGTACAAATGAAGGGAAGAGGTGAGGGACGAGCAGCGATGACAGCTGGGAGTGATACGTGACAGGTGCCTGTGTTCGGACAGGTATGTTCGCCCCCCGTGTTGCTGAAAACTGAGGAGGGGGGGAGTTTGGTGGGTGGGAGGCCAGGCCGCCGCTCCCCACGCTGTCCGCAGAATGTGATGAGTGTTTGTGTGTCATCCATTCCCTTCCGGCCGCCTCATTCCATCGCCGCGCTCCACCACAAACGCCGTCGTTCGAAGCAATGTTTTTGTTTTTCGCTTGTAGTTGAACTGAAATGAGGGGCGTCGACGCTCTCTGTGAGTGCAGAGACGAGAGAGAGAGAGAGAGGAGGGGGGGGGCAGGTGTGTCACGGGTTTTTTAAAGGGTGCGGACGCCGCGCCGCAGTCGGGAGGCCGAGGAGGCGGGGTCGGGGCGGAGGCTCCCCACCGTCCCCCCGTTTAGTTGAAGACGGCGGGAGGCCCGTCGGGACGTCTGGTCTGGACGATCTGCTGCTTTGGCCGCACCGCCTCGTCCTCCTCCGTCTCACTCTCGCACACGTGGACGACCACGCTGGGGGTGGACTCTGTCCCCGCGTGGAGCTCGTACTTTTCACCTGGAGGGGAAAGAAGTAGACAATCAATCAATCCATCAAGCTTATTTATGTGGCTCATTTCAGCTTTACATCATAAATAATGAAGTATTCTAATATTTAACAATAATTTAATAACTGATTAATCAATAAATCTGACGATTAATCATCATAATATGTGATTAATCGGATAAAGAAATGGCACATTGACTGCAAACACAAAATCTTACCAAGCATTTTTAGTCTAGTTTCTAGTGCAAATATTGAAATGTGAGTTTAGTAAATTTTCAACTTGTTTTAAGTAAATAACTCCAAATAACATGGAAAAATGTTTTGTTATAATAATCTGTCAGTGGATCTAGTACTTTTTCATCAATATTAAGGAATTATTTACTTAAATTAAGCTAATTATCTCGCAGAAAAGTTACTGGTAAGTTAGTTTTGTATCATTTCAAGTGTACTGGTAACTGGTAAGAGTTTGTGTTTTTGGAGTTCTGCAGTTTTTTGATTTAACCACTTAAGCAACACAATAACATTCTTTTGTGAATTTGAATCCGGTAAAAAAATCTTCTTAAACACTTTTTTCTTTCTAGTTATTAATTAGTTATTTAAATAACTAATCAACAGGTCAGCTGTACATTATATTTGACAAAAAATGTTTGTTTTCTTAATAAAAATAAACAGATTTATGCGTTTATTTGCATTTTGACAGCATTTCTAATGTCTTAGAAAATAATCTTGAGTGGTTCAATGAAAAATTTAATGAATGTGACAATTTTTAAATGCGATTAATCCTCAGAATAATTGATTACTAAAATAATCACTGGGGCACCTAACATCTATTCTAGAGCTAAAATGGCATGGTTTACATCAAAGCATATCCAGAATGTCCCAGTCAAAGCCCAGACCCAAATCCAATCTAGAATCTGCTGCAAGACTTAAAAATGAATCTGAGTGAAACTGAAATTTTTATTTTGCAAAGAATGAGCAATGTTTTTTAGTCTCTTCAATATGAAAGAAAAAAATGTTGAAAACTGTGCATCATTTCCTTCCTGCTTTACAATTATTCACTTAATTGTGTTGATCTGTTGGAACACGGAGAGATTCGTTTCTGCAAATGTAAAGCCAGGTGAGAAGGGAGTGACTCCTTTAGCAGGGAACTGTACCAGCCAAACTGAACATCAAGCTAAAACAAAAAGCTTCTTCCAAAAATAATCCAGATGAACTCAGACTGAAAACACACACTTAGATTGCATCTCGGTTGCCATGTAGACGCGATCAGGCAGCTGGCAGGCAGCTGGCAGGCAGAGGGAAATGGGTGCTGCGGCGCCAAACACAGAGATGGGGCGCGAACGGAGTGCTGCAGTTACAGCAGGTGGCGGACAGAGGGAGCCAGCGAGCTGCACTGCGCCCTAATCTGATTTCAGACGCCAGGATATGAGGCGAGAAACAAAGCCATTTCCTGATGCCTCGTGTTTCTATGGCAACGGCACAAAGTGGCCGTCTGAGCTGGACTCGCTGCCTGTGTGAGTGTGAGTGTTTGTTTGAGATAATGTTTTTTTTTTTTGTTTTTTTTTGATGGAGATAATAAAAAGTATTCAGCCGAAAGCAGATTTGGAAATGTGTTTTTCATCGCACATAGCTGCTGCAAACCTGATGAAAATCTGCAAAACAAGTGTTTTCAATACAAATGTGCACAAATCTGCATTTGCTGCATTTACATTAAATAAGAAATGAAATTAAAATCACATGAGAAGCAATTCTTTAAATGATAAGTCATTAAAAATCTTGACAGATTTAAACATTTACATGAAATATATTCATATTTCAGCCATTAGTGAAAACGTTGGCGTCTTATTCACACTTTCTCCTTGTCTGCAGCGTTTTGAGAAAAGTGTAGTTAGCGATTTTAAAGAAGAGTATTTGATTCAATAAGTTCAAATGACACTGAAGTTTCTCTGAACTGTGCAATGCTGTGAGATTGAGCCGCCATCCTCCTACAACTTCCTGTAGTCTTCTTCGTCATTTTCGCCAGTAGTAACATCCGTTTGTTAATCATGTGACGTCAAAAGATCATCGATTACGATAAAACCACCTCATCCTAGAGCAAAAACTTCTTATAGAAAAACGTGTTTTTTTTCGAAATTGTTGTTTCCAGTTAAGCAAATTTATTTTTGTAATTTCAGTTTGCACATTTTTAATAGAAACACAGTTAATGACTGCAAGACGTTGTGCTGCAGAGCTGCTCTATGACGCCCTGTGTTTGACCTCACATTACTGCTGCAGCACATGCAAGTCTGCAAAATCAAACTTTAGCAGAACCAACTCATTGCTGCATAAGCTGTGCAATCCTCTGCCTGATTAAACACTCCACTGTAAGCTTTCTGTGTTACTTTTGCACCCTGTCAGCAGTCTGATGCATACAGATGGTTAATAATCACTGCAGAAACCGGGCTTGGTGCAAAATGTAGCAGCAGTAGACATCTGAGCTCAAAAAGCTTTCAGATTTTCACAAGAAACCATTAAAGGAAGTTTTTATAATGACAACGCATCCAAACCAGCTCATTAAAGAAACAGATTCATGACAACCTTTAAAAGAGAACACTAGCTTTGAGGAAATTAATTACAAAGGCTTGCAAAAGTATTAGTGCGATTTTACATGATAGACCAAAACAAAAACATTACATAAATGTGAAGTGGGAGAGAAACTATGTGGTTTTCAACATTTTTAACCCCCAAAAGAAAGAAAAAATCTGCAAAAGTGAGTCAATTTATATTTCCTCTGATTACTTTAAATAAAAGATTTTATTTTTACATCATATTGCCCAACCCTGATTTCAATACTACTGCAAAAAACTCATTTCCTTTTTCCATGAGAGTAACAATTACAAAGCAGCACTGACCAGGTCCGAGCTTAGCCACAGCACACAGCAGGTCATAGTTGATGACAGGCGTGGCGTCTTCGCTCTGACTCCAGCCGACAGGCGGAGAGGCGGGTGGAGAGATCAGGAACTGTTTGACCGGCTGCGGAGGAGCCAGATACGACTTGTCGATGTCTTCATCGCCGTTCTGGATCTGTTGGACGGAAAACAAACACATGACGCGTGTTGTTCCTCTACGAAAGAGGTGAGTGGCAGGAAAATCAGCAAGAAAACAATCATGTCTGCAAAAAATAAAAAGAACAAAATAAGATCCATGAACCTCAGGAAGTTTTTAGACTTCCTGAGTTCTTTATGTGCAATTTGCTAACAAAAAGCCACAGTTTGAGGCCTCTTATGTTTAATAGCAAGCCTGTTCAGATAAAGGGATTTTGGCGTTTTGATAGCTTGCAATTGCTGTAATTACAATACCTACATGAGGCCTTTATCGGAGCTCTAAAATCCATAATCCTCTTACGTCAAAGTACAAGAAGGTGCTGCAGGGTCATAGTGGGTGAAGCTTTTTGGAAACTTTTTCGACATATTTTCCTACGATGCAAAAGTCTGAGAGGGGCTCACCCTGAACTGTCCTGCTTCACTGCAAAAACACAAAATATCAAGTATTTTAGGTCTAGTTTCTAACGCAAATATCTACTTGGTAAGATTTTGTGTTTTTGCAGTGTACTTTTATTTATATTTAGATGGAAACTAAGTGGAACATAAGCAGAAACACGGGAGATAAATCACAGTAATGTAATGTATTCAACAGCTCCCCTGGGCATTTCCTCACCTGAGCGAAGTAGAGTTTTAGCTTCTTGCCGTTGAACTCGGACTCGTGCAGCTCGATGCGGGCGCGGGCCGCCGCCTCTGGGGTGCTGAAGTTGATCCGGACTCTCCTGAAGCTTTTGAACAACTGGAAAGTGACCTGGTCATCGTAGATCCTGAAGAGCGCCTCAAACCTCTCCTGCAGAAAATCAAAATAATAAAAAACTATGAAATGTTGAACAAGCTACTCTGCTTTCCTGCCCACTTCAAGTGGCAAGGTAGATATTATATTAGAAAAAACAGCATGTTTCTCAAAATATTACACTAATTTTGCTGAAAATAGTGATGCTCTTTGACATTAAGCAAGAGTGTTAGCCATTAAAACTATCAAACTGCAGCTGTTTGCACCATTTGTGTGGCTTCTGGTCACTTCTACCTCACAAAGTTGCAGCTTTTGAAAGCCGACATGCTAAAACAAATTCAAGATTCTTTTTACTTTTTCCAAGAATGTCGCTGTGAATTCAGTTGATGTGTTACTATTTGTTCATCTTGTTTATTGAGTATTTTATCAGTTATTTAAGCTGGATTTTATTTTTAAGTAAAATACAGACACTTTGATATTGGATGTGATATTTATCCTTTTAATCATCAATCAACTGTTAGATTTTTATTGTAACTTTTCCACTGCTAATAATGAATTTAAAACAGAAATCCCTCTTCATACAATTGTTAAAAAGTCTTGAGATTTTTTCATAATTTTTGATAAGCAGTGAGATTTGTTAACTTTATTTCCTGACTAATCATCACAGGAAAGACTAACTCAAATTTCACTTGTTTCAGTAAAAGTCTGGCTTCTTTCCTTGCTCTTCTCCTTCTGCCTCAGGCACCAACCTTTAGTTTTTCTTTTTTGTAAAACTAATTTGTCTTCTTGGGCACCAGATTGCCCTCCTCGGCTGTGAACTCAATCAAGCAGCTCAGCAGGAGGGCAAAAAGGAAGAAGGCCACCAGGAGAGCTGATTTCTGAGTAATCAGTGGTGCTATTCGTTGTTTCCTTGTCGACCATCTCCCAGCCGCTCCAGTAGCTCAGATTCAGTGGGAAACATGAAGGTTGATGGGCAGGTTGCAAACTTGCAATGATCTTTTCACTGCCACAAAAAGACTGCTAATAATTTGCACTTCATGATTGGATAAACAATCATTTTGTGTTTACATTTTTTCTCACTTGAATGTTTCATATCGTAAGACAAATTGTAATATTAGAAAACGATAAAAATGTGAAAAAAAAGAAAAAGAAAAAAAAAAGGATAGTTCCATGTATTAATGGGAAACAAAGCTACCAGCCCCAATGTGAGGATGCAATCAGCCTCCCCTGGTTAAATAATGAATTAACTGAGTTCAATTTCTTTAACTACATCCACCCCTGATTACTGCCAAATTGGTAAAAATCAAGAAATAACCTAACCTTAACCTGTCTGATAACAGGATGTAGGCCAAGAGATGCCAAAAGAAACACATTGCACTCAACAAAAGAAATTCAAAAACATTTAGAAATAAATTTCGATATCTTTCACCTTATAGTCCAGTAGACTCGGTTCGATTTGGTAACATTTGTTACATTTTCAGCTGTGCGGTTCGTTCACAATACCCTGTGTCAAACGATCCAAACCATTTGAAGAACCTGTTCCCCTCCTCACCTGTGGGGGCGCTGCACTGAGAACCACTGAAGGAAGCGACACAAAAATCTCTGAAGAAGACACTGAGAGCAGCTTCCTTCTTCATAAAATGTAAATAAAAATGGCGTAGCTTCAGATTTTAGCGGTTGTAGGATTTATCTTTTGTCTTTGGTAAAAGACCACCAGTTGTTTTTCCTACTAGCGCAACACTAGCATGTTTGTTGTGGTTGTATTTACCCAGAATGCCTTGCGCTGCAGTCCGCTTCCTACTTTTGGAGCGGTCTCCGGTCCACTTGGTGAACCAAGACTGAGGTTTCTCTGCGGATCAGAGTTTGATTGCACATTCACACCTCCCCAAACGAACCGGACTTTTAGGGAAACGAATTGGAGTTTGATTAAAACGGACTAAACAGGGCTGGTGAATGAATGCACCTCTGGAGGGTATCAACAACCCACCAAGAAGCTCACAAAACATGCTGGACTTTGACTAATTTATGAAGCTGCTGCCATAAATAAAGCTCTGGATGGATATTTGACCAATCATTTTGTCAGAATGGGTAAAATGCATTTAAATTGTCATATTTTCTGACTTTTTCACACTGTTTACATGATCAGTAGGGCTGAGGTTAGAGAGTTTCAGTTTTAATCCTCCGAATATTGCAACATTTTCTTCCTATCGTCATGTTTCGCAGTTTCATCTCTGACACGTCTCACCATGAGACTTTTCTCGTCAAAAACAGCAGCTCAGGACTCAGAAAACAAACTTTCCTGAAGTCCCACATGAAATGAGATCCGCATGTTTACAATCTGAGGCATTACTGTCAATTGGTGTCCACTGCTCTTCAATCAGCTCTGTTACTGCATGGCTGATCTCAACTGAGAGATATTCTATTTTTGCCAGATATTGACAGAATTTAAAATCCTCACTCTTTTAGCTTTTTTACACGTCACTTTTCGAACAGCTTCGGGCACGGTTCTTTCTTCATGTGTGTTTGTGTAAAACCTGGCAAATTTAAATCAAAATGGATTCAAGATGTATTGTTTTTTATGCATACACTCATAAAAAGGACCTCTGACCAGAACTGTAACTGAAGTGCATTTAAACACAGTGAGTCTGCTGTAAAATGACAGCTTTCCCTCTCTAAGGACTTCACATCATCAACGTCTCTGACGCACTGAGCAGTAGATGATTCAGCAGACTGAAGCAGAGTCTGTTGTTCACCACGGTCAGATAATCAGGACATCAGAAATATGCACAGGCCCTTTTCCTTTAGCTCTTTCTTTCCCTTATTGCTTTTCTCAGTTTTTCTCCCCTTGTAAGAACATCTGATCCTCCCTTTTCAAAGCAGCTGGCTTTACTTCAGAGCAGACTTGACCTCCATCCTGCTTCATGCCATTTTTAGGCAGATTTCTGGTGAGTCCTGGAGTTAAGGAAAAGGGGTCAAGTCAGTAAAAATGTGAAACATTTCCTGCCTTAAGGGGAATCAGGACAGATTGGAAACATCTTTGAAATAATAGAAAATTGTGATCAACAAGATTTTAATTCAATTTGCTTACATCTTTTATTCCATCCATTCATTATTTGTGTTAATTCTTTTGAAAACTTGCAAGATTTTAGTTCAGTCTTTTAAAAAAAATTAAAGCTGCAAGATGTTCAATAAACAGGAAAATGTCTATTATAATTATTACTGGGTTTGAGATTGGACCCGCTCCTGAAAGTTAACTGCAATAAGCAATAAATCAATTAAATGCATGTTAAATTAAAATGAGCTTAAACATTTTCATTTGCATGATTTATTGTTTTTCTTCTTTTTCTCAGTCTGCCAAAAACTGGATGATAAAAGTCTTCAGTCTCGTGTTTTTGCCTCAACTAAACCTTTTTTTTTGAAGGACAATTTGGTTTACAGAGACTTCATAATTAATTTTTTTTGTTTTGTTTATTTATTTTGGATAATTTAAATGTCTTGCAATTCCAGTGTTAAATGTTCATTGGAAATTACAGTTTAATGATCTTTGAGAATGAGTTCTTGCATTATTATTACCATTATATTATGTAAAATTGTCTCAAAACAATATTATCATTTATTCCAATAACTTCTGGGACAATTTATTGTCCAGCAAAATTTGTTTTTGTGACAGGATGAGGAATTTAACCAAGTATTAGTGAGGATGAATGCATATATTTGAAATTTACTACAGTTTCTGTTGTGTAATCATTCCACCTCAACTCAAATGCATCAATAAAACTGTCATATTTGTGTATGTAAACAAGACTTTACACAAAACTATCAGCTCTCTTCTCAGCTCTACAGAAATAACAGAATTCACAAAATTCACCTTTTTTATTTAGATATATCAACAAACTATCTTACCTATCAAAAACAAGCTGGCAAAGTCTATTAGAATAAAGTGGAGATGTTGCAGAGGCATGGGGATTATTTTGAGCACAAACATGCAAACGTTGCAACTTTGTCTTACATTTCAGAGCACTGAAGCATTGTTTTCAGGCCCATCCTCCTCCCTGCGATACAATCATGGTTTTCTTGAGAATGACAACACGGCGCTTGTTTGGCCTTTCAACAGAGCCCACTTAAGCCCTTATTTAAGCTATGAATTTTCCATGAGCCATGCCAGCTACTATGACTCACATGTCAGACGCCATGAGTAAAACCGATAAGGTTTACAGTCACCCACGCAGGCGCTCCGCCGCAGCTACTTCCTTAAGCTAAATGGATGTTTTGGCGTGAGCGGAGATGTAGGAAAGCTCAGAGATCGAGTTGCATAAAAGCACACTGCGCTGCGCCGATGTTTGATAAACCTATGGCTGATTGGTGCGTAACAAGTGAACATGCTTATCACTAATTTATGGGCTCTTCATGAGCGAACATCCTGAGGGAATGAGGGGAGGGAGGTGAGGGGTGAGCAGGAGAGGGGTGTTGAGTTACGCTCGGCCCGACCTGTGCTGTTTGTGCGAGTACAAGCGAAAGAGCAACAAAGTTTGGGATGAATAATGTTTGGACAAAAATATTTGCTATAGTATTGTTGGACATTGAAAGAATCCACAACTTCTTCCCGTCTTGCCCATAAAAGATTCCAATCTTTTCACCTCCAAAACATCAGATCTGTGCTTCTTCCATATGTGGTACGAATTCAGATACAGAGGTGGGCAGAGAGCCAAAAGTTGTACTCAACTAAAAGTAACACTACTTCCACATATTTTTACTCAAGTAAAAGTAAAACGTAGCCAAGAAATAACTCAAAAAAGAGTAAAACGTATTTGGTAAAAGGTTTACTCGAGTACTGATTAACTGATCAAATAATCAATCATTTCAAAATGAGATAATCAGATGGGTCAAAATATGAAGTTAAGAGGAAATTTTGGGATGATTTATATAAGTAACAAAAAATAACAAAATCGAGCAAGAAAAAAAATTAAAAATTAATTTCCTTCAATAAAAAACTGCAGCTGTGATTCTGTGTCTGGTGAATTTTTGGTTAAAACATGTTTGTTTTTCATTCAGTGAGT